AGCCTATTTAAGCCTAACCCGACCTCTTACCCAGCTAAACGTAGTCAAATCCACCTATTCAGACCTATACTGAACAGAAAGAACCGGAATCTATGACCCACATCAGCTAAACCGAGATCTAAACAGGTCTAACCCTAGTGAATTTCACTAAACCCAGCCAAATTGGATACTAGACAGTCCTAACAGGGTAACCCGATCACAACAGACCCTATCATACCCTAAATCAGTCCACTATGCCCTAAATCAGATACCATCAGACCTAATTTGAGCTAACCTAACCCTAAATCAGTTAGTTCTAGTCCTAATTGTACACTCCAGACCCTAAAACTGACCCAATCTAGTCCTAACCACAAAATCAGATCCTAACCCGACCAATACTAGCCCTAACCAGATAAATCAGATCCTAACCAGACCTCTATTAGCCTAAAACGAATCTGATCTTACCTAATACCGGACCCAATTGACCTATATGGTCTAATTATAGCCTAATTGGACGAACAGACCCTAACATTAGACCTAAACCAGTCTAAAACCGGCCTTAATTCACCTCCAATCAGACCCTATTGGTCTGAACCGAACAATTCTAGCCCTTCCCAGACAAATCAGACCCTAACCGAGACTTAAACCAGCCTAAACTAGTCTGAATTGCCCTAAACCGGACTCAATTGACCTAAACCGGACCTGAATTTGCCTAAACCGGACTCAATTGTCCTAAACCGGACCTGGAATGACCTAGAATTGACCTAAACCGGACCTGAATTTGCCTAAACCGGACTCAATTGTCCTAAACCGGACCTGGAATGACCTAGACCGGACTCAATCGACCTAAACCGGACCTGGAATGACCTAAACCGGACCTAATTGTCCTAAACCGGACCTGGACTGACCTAAACCGGACCTAATTGTCCTAAACCGGACCTGGATTGACCTGAACCGGACTGAACCGGTCCAATTGACCCCAAACCGGACCTGAACCGGTCCAATTGACCTGAACCGGTCCGGTTTGACCTAACCGGTCAACTGTTGACCAATTTTGGTCAACGATTTGACTTGACCAACCTAAACCGGTTCGATTGAAATATTGAACCGGGTTTAATTACTCAATCGGATTTAAACCGGCTAAACCGGTCTAAACCGAAAACCCTAATTTCGGAAACGTGAGCCGCCGAGTTAACTCGGTCAACTCGGTCGTTGACTCAACCCCGGAACCCGACTCAGCCGTGACTCGGTGAGTTACGGCCGATTCCGCCGGATTTCCGCCGGTTTTTCGCCGGTTCTCCCCACCCAACCCTAGATCTACACACACAGACTCGAAAACTTACCTGAGTCAACTTGTAACTCGCCCGAGTCTCCGATCTGAGTTAGATCCGAGCCCCTTCCAACTTCTCGCCGCCGATCTGAACCGTTTCCGTCGTCTTTGACCGCCGATCTTCTCTCAGACGGTCTCCTCGACGTTGTTTCTTGCCTGAAACAACTCGAACCAAGCATCAGAACGTTCAGATCTAGACCAAGGGAACCCCGACTTACCTCGACCGCGTGTCGCCGCCGATCTGTCGTCTGCCGCCCCGAACCAGGCTCTGATACCACTTGTTGTGGTTCAGGCCGGCCGGTTCCTCACCGTAATCTCTCCGATCAAACGCTCGTGTGCAAGAACGGAGAACCAAAACGAAAGAGACAGGAGATACGAGTTCAGTACCGAGCTCTAACGCTCGGTACCTACGTCTCGGGAAGAGGAAGTGTTCGATCTAAGGTTACAGCCATAGACTCACGCCGGAAACCGCCGAACGGCGGCCCCGAACGCCGGAGAAGCGAGAGTCGCTTCGCCGCAAGAGAGAGAAACCCAAAGAACGAAAAATACAAGTCTGTTACAAAATGAGCAAACCCTAGGTCAGATTATTGACCTAACCAAAAGACGACTTTGCCCCTCCGTCCTTCAGAAGCCTCTCTTTCATTCCGAAGCTTCAAGAGCCTCCACTTCGTCCGGAGGTTTTGTAGAAGACACTCTACATCCATAATCTGGGCCAAAGGCAAAAGATTGACCTCCCTGTGTTTGGCTGTTAGAAAGGCTATGGGGACAATGCAACCATTGGAACACGCGTATATTACTATATCAAATTTAAAGAACAAGTCCTATAATTCCTTGATTGCGTTAACTAGCACACCGGTTGGTCAGATTCTGACATTGAATTAGAACTTGTCAGGAAAAAATTAATAAATGTGTTTAGTAGTTATATATTATAATAATATTTCGAGAAAGTGGTGATCCATAATGTCTGGAATTTCTCCAATAAATAGGGAGGTTCCAAGATCCTCCAAGACTTTCAGATATTCTCTTCTAAGCAAATCCACATTTAAAAGTCTTTTTTTTTTTTAAAAAAAAAAAAAACTCCAGTGGACATGTAAACATGTAGTGGACAACTACCCATTTCCATATGAACAATCAGTGGGCCCCTTTTTGTCTTAGAAGGGCTTAAAATAATAATTCTATAATTCTAATGGGCCTAGGCCCAAAGGTATTTCAAAAGCTCGTATGGTAATGGGCTTGGGCTTCAAGGACCATCGAAATTAAAAGTCTCCGTGAAACCCAAAAGTCAAAGGTTCATAAAAAAAAGTCAACAACGGGATTCGATTGGAACATGACACGTCACGCTTCCTCCTCCTCGACGACGAACAGCGACGAACGAGTGTCACTGTATTAAATGGCATGCTTAATCACGCTGTTAATATTATTATTATTATAATTAATTAAGAGTTAAATGGAGAGGTGCGTGTGGACCTGCGAAGCCTTTAATTCTTTTGAGCGGTGACTATCGACTCAGACGAGTCCACTCGGAAAGAGACCCAATCAATAAATGTTTATCTACACTTGTTAATATAGTTATAAATATTGATTATTTTTTGTTTTCATTTTCTAAAAAAAAATTAAAAAAAAATTGTTGTTTTTATTTTAACTCGATCAAAATTTATTTATAGAAAAAAGATATAAAATTGGTTTTTTTATATTTTTTTAGATATAATTTGATCTATAGTATTGAGGAAAATTATTTTTAGATATATTTATATATGTGTATGTATTTATTTGTAGGGGATTTACAAACAAAGTAGATGTGGCGATAGAGAGAGACTTGTGTGTAGGGTCTAGTTAGAAAAAAAAATATCCCATTTTGTCGTTTATCATCATCAACATTTTCATCATCATCATCATCATCATCATCATTGTTATATGATGTGTGTGTTGGTATGTTCATGAAGCAGGGATTTGGATCTGTTGCAGCTTTTCCCGACTACTTTTATTTCGATTCATTGTTCTTTCTCCCCTATATGAAATATTTTGATAACTTTTTTTTTTGGTTAAATATTTTGATAACTTACTATGAATACGCAATTTACTCCTCCATTCCATGAAGCATCATGATTCATTATGCGTTGTTAAAGTGTTTTTTTAATAATAATTAAAAAAAAATAAAAAGAAAAGATGGATGGGGATCACGAGAGAATATGACACTTACAAATCTATGAAAAAAGATCGCAATAATTTGGATGCTCTTTGTTGGTCCCTTGGGGGTAAAAGCCGAATTCATTCTCCTTTTATATATATAAAAAAAAATCAGGGTACTTTTTCTAATATAACGTAAAGTTCGGGCGCAATTTGCAAATACCATGACTTTGTTTAATAATACCTCGAGTGAGAGGAATAATGTTGGTGTTGTCCTACACCGGTGATAAAGTGGAATGCATGTCGTTTTTATTCTCCCGTTTACTTGGAAAAAATTGAGGGAAAATAAAGTGAAATGCATGTGGTTTTTTTCCCTTTACCCAACGGTCTTTTTCTGAAGGGCGGAAATACACTTTTCACCGTTTTGAACTTCGGCCGTTCACCTTCCTGTCGTTCCCCCCCAATAGGGGTGGTCACGGGTTGGAGGAAACCCGATCTCGATCTCATCATCACGGGTTTTACGAAAAAATTATCTCATTCTTGGCTTCATGAGATCCGGATACCCCTAACCCGGGTTCAATGAGATTCTCAGTCTCGTACTCACGGATACCCGGATCTCATAAATAAATAATTCAAATATTCTATAATTTATAAAATTCAATAAAAATAACTTAAACAACATTCAAAACTCGATTTTATAAATTATAAATTCGATTTCATAAATTAGAAAGTTTGAGAATATAGAAAATAATTAAATAAAATAAAAATATTTTAATAAATAATAAAATACCTTATTTAAATGTTATAAATATAAAGATATTTTTAATTTTTAATTAATATATCGAATACCCGGGTACCCGTTATGAGTTAATCGAAACCCGAACTCGGACCCGGGGGTCAAAAACTCGGTCTCGTTAAACCCGGTCTCATCATCGTTAATATTCGGATATCCTTTCTCCGGGTACTTGTTAAGCCGGATATCCCAAACGTCCGGGTTACGAGTTGAAACGCCCACCCCTACCCTTTATTTCCCCGTGGCAAGAACCCAAACCACGAACTTCCAATAATGCGAGCAATTTCGTATCTTAATTTTAGTTATTAGAGAAGAAATACGAATTTAATTAATTTTAATTACATCGAACTTTAAAAAATATAATATAACACGAGATTCCATAACCATTGCATCTTATACGATTTCTGGTTAACGGCTGATTATTTGTGTTAGGTGTATTATTCAAACACCAAAAATTATTAAAAAACGAAACGGGGAAATAGTTGCAGGCTAATGACAGTCACTGACTCGTTATCAGAAGCGGGCTGAGATGTTTTTATATTTTATTTATTTTATCAGAAGCGGGCTGAGATGTTATTTATTTTATTTATTTTTTTATAAATAAATAAATAAAACATAAAAACAGAGAGCACGTACAGTCCAGAGTCCGAGCAAGTGGAGTGGAGACAGCTAATTACTTTCCCCCTTTTCGATTTTGTGATTCCGTTTTAGGGCAATGCATAGCCACCGGCCGTTACCGTCAACCGCCGCCGCCGCCACCGCCACCGCCACAGCTTGAGAAGGAGAAGAAGAGGAAGAGATGGGATGCACGGCGTCGAAGCTCGACAACGAGGACACCGTGAGGCGGTGCAAGGATCGCCGCCGTCTCATCAAGGAGGCCGTTCACGCTCGCCACCACCTCGCCGCCGCCCACGCAGATTACTGCCGATCTCTTCGTCTCACCGGATCTGCCCTCTCCTCCTTTGCCGCCGGTGAGCCTCTCTCCGTCTCCGATCAGACTCCGGCGGTATTCCTCCATCCTCCCTCCGAACGCTCCTCCGCCGCCGCCGGTTTTGTTCCTCCTCCGCAAGTCCCGCCGTCGCCTTCCCCTTCCTCCGTCCATCCTCCGCGGCCTCCTCCTCCGATTTCTCCCTCCGTAGCTAGTTCCAAGTTGCCCCCTGTCATCACCGCCAATCGTCGCCGGAAGCAGATGCCAAAGCTCCCTCACATCCTCTCGGAGTCAAGCCCTTCGTCAACTCCTAGGAGTGAGAGATCCAATTTCATGCCGAATTTCTTTCCCACCGCTTATCCGAACTCAACGTACTCCACAACTCCCTCTCAAGCATCTTCCGTCTGGAACTGGGAGAATTTCTACCCTCCTTCTCCTCCTGATTCCGAGTTCTTCAACGCGCAAGCTCAGGGGAAGCAACAGAACCCCCACTATCTTTCTAACGATCTAGCCGATGGCGATGACACCGAAACGGAGAGATCAGAGTATGATTTCTTCCATACGAGAAAGCAGAATCAGTTCGCATCCATGAATAGTACAGTAGACGAGGAGACGGAAAGAGAGGAGGTACAGTGTAGCGAATGGGAAGATCACGATCACTACAGCATGACGAGCTCCTCGGATGCAGCAGAGGAGGAGGGGGATAGGGAGTCTATGTCCGAGATCGGTATGCGCTCCGACTTCGGATCCTCCGTGAGGACTGGTTCCCTGAGACGGCACCACCGTCAGCCCTCACCGCCGCCGTCGGAGTACGGAGGCGCTGCTCCAGGGAAGTATGACAAAGCAGATGACGCGACGACGTCTTCCGGCAGCTACAAGGGTGGAGGAGAAATCGCTGACATGAGGATGGTGGTGAGGCATAAGGATTTGAAAGAGATTGTTGATGCGATCAAGGAGAACTTCGACAAAGCTGCAGCCGCCGGTGATCAGGTCTCGCAGATGCTCGAGCTTGGCAGAGCTCAGCTCGATCGCAGTTTCAGCCAGTTGAAGAGTAAGTTCAATTTGCTTGGTAAACGAGAACCGAGACGCTATTGATAATTGAGGTTGATTATGGACGAATTTTGTAGAATTGAGTTGATTTTTCATTCGCGATTTTGGTCACAGAGACTGTGATTCATTCGAGTGGCGTATTAAGCAACTTGAGTTCAAGCTGGACATCGAAACCACCATTGGCGGTTAAGTACAGGCTCGACACAACGGCACTGGACCAACCAGGTGGTCTGAAGAGCCTTTGTTCCACTCTGGATCGGCTCCTAGCATGGGAGAAGAAGCTCTATGAGGAAGTCAAGGTTTGCATTTTTCTATCAAGTTCTTTGTGCACAGCTCAACTGTTCTTATTGATGCTGGTGGAATTTCAGGCAAGAGAAGGTGTGAAGATCGAGCACGAAAAGAAGTTGTCGCAACTTCAGAGCCAGGAGTACAAGGGGGGTGATGAGTCTAAGCTGGACAAGACAAAGGCTTCTATAACAAGATTGCAGTCGCTGATAATTGTCACGTCGCAGGCCGTCACCACCACATCTACTGCTATTATCCATCTTCGAGATTCTGACCTTGTTCCTCAGCTCGTTGAACTCTGTCATGGGTAAGTTTGCCTATCTGTCTATGGGAATTATATAGGAGCATTCACTTCCGCTGAAATCGTTGAGCAATGATCAGTTCTTGTTTCCACGAATAGTAGCCAATCTTCATTCACACACAATTTTTGAAATCTTAATTACATGTTGTTTGGATTTGAAATCTCACTCAGCCAGTTGGTGAACAATAATGGATCTTGCCAGCTGTGCCAGTTGCCTCATGCTTTTCTGAGGCCCATGTGCTCTGCTCTTGATCCATTTTCCTGAACCTTAGAATCTCCAGTGATGTCTGGTTTGTTCTTTTAATTGTCCAATTAGTGAGTAAAATCAGTGATGCCATTGTTACTATAGTTCTTCTTCAGTAGATGTAATTCTCAGTCCTGGCATTGCTTTAGCTGAGAACTACGAGTGAATTGGTTTTTTTTCATTATGCAGCTTCATGTACATGTGGAAGTCGATGCACCAATTCCACGAGGTTCAGAACAGCATAGTGCAGCAAGTTCGGGGGCTTATCAACAGGTCAGGCAAAGGGGAATCGACTTCCGAACTGCACCGACAGGCGACACGTGACCTGGAAGCGGCTGTATCCGCGTGGCATTCCAATTTCTGCCGGCTGATCAAGTTTCAACGTGACTTTGTACGGTCGGTTCAAGCCTGGTTCAAGCTAACCCTAGTTCCAGTCTGCAACGACGATGCTAACCAGAAAGAGCAGGTAGATGCATACAACTTCTGTGATGAGTGGAAGCTCGCCTTGGACCGGCTACCGGACACGGTGGCTTCAGAAGCCATCAAGAGCTTCATAAATGTCGTCCACGTGATCTCGGCAAAACAATCTGAAGAGATGAAGGTCAAAAAACGGACGGAATCGATGGCAAAGGAGCTGGAGAAGAAGGCGTCGTCGATCAGGAGCATAGAGAGGAAATACTATCAGTCGTATTCGATGGTGGGGATCGGAATATCGGGTTCGGAACCCGAGAACGGGAATACATTGGATGCAAGGGATCCGCTGATGGAGAAGAGGGCGGAGCTGGCGGCATGCCAGAGGAGAGTGGAGGAGGAGATGATGAAGCATACGAAGGCGATAGAAGTGACGAGGGCCATGACGCTGAATAACTTTCAGACGGGGTTGCCTGGTGTTTTCCAAGCCTTGACCAGTTTCTCTTCTCTCTTCTCCGAGTCCCTCCAAACGGTATGCACCCGTTCCTACTCTATCAAATAAGATCGTTATAGATATATATATATAGTAGAAAAATCCTTCAGTGGAATTTTTGGCGGTCAAGTAATATTAAAATGGGATGTGGAAATTTCAGCCTGTTGTTTTGTTTTCTGGGGCCAATCAATGACACCGTTGGGCCATCTTTGTTCACTTGTTTTTTGTCTGTAGAAGAGGAGGGAGAGGTGTTTAGAAATGTAAATATAAGGGGGGTGGGGGGTTACTTTGAGATGTGTAACGTCGTGTGTTGTATCTCAGGTTCTTTAAGTTCAGTTTCTACGAATAATATCAAATCTCTATGTTTCGTTTTTGTCTTCTGTTTTTGAAAAAAAAAACATAAAAAGAAAAGGTTTGCGGTTGCATTCTTAACCTGTTTTTTTTTTTTTTTTTTTTGGGGGGGGGGGGATCACGTCACTGCCATCGGATGCTTCTCAATTCCGTCCCAATCTGACATACTTTCTGGACATATATATATATGGGGTGTATGTAATGATGCAGGGTGTATGATGGTATCTCCTTCATTCCCTTGATTTTCTCCTGACCTGTCTGTCTGCCCCCTCTTCCCTGCAAAATCTCTGTGAAAATCCAACCCCCCACCCTTGTCTCCTTTGTCCTATATCTTGCATGTTCTATTTTCTGTTTTCTATTTTCCTTGTTCTTTTCCATCGTTACGTTGGTGCTTAGACCACCGGAAAACATAAGATGCGCACTGCAAAGGCTTTGGCCACCAAAGCCTGCCAATTAGAGAATTAGGACACCACCTCCTCACCAAACCCCTCAAAAAAAAAAAAAAGAGGGGAATGATTCGATAGTGTGCCAAAAAAAAAGCACAAAGAAAGGTCTAATCCTCCCCCTCTGCCTTTCCATCCGAGACCAAGTTTTAGCTTTCCGCGTTAATACAATGGTGTTTTTTTGATGGAACAAGAACAGCAACCAAATCTAACATGATGTTACTCTTTGATATGTATGGCTATCAAACAAAATATTAAAAAAAAAAAGACTAAAATACCCCCCTTGATGTAATTATACGCTAGCCCAACTTAACCCCCCCACCCCCAAAGTAAGCCTAGAAGAACTCGAAGTCTAGGAATTTACCGCCGGATTTCATGTCGGCCGGTCCCGCCATCCTTTTGCTGTTGCTCCCGAACCCCACAGGATCGATTGGCCCGTATTTGGGCGGTGGCTGTTCGGCCGATCCCTCCGTCGGCCTGGGCACCTCCGGCGGAGTGCTGCACCGTATCAATGCCCAGTTCACTCCTTCGAAGAAAGCATGTTGCTTTATCTCAGTCGCCCCCCTCTTCGTCCCTAGCCTGTTACGAGGGTCTTTCACCAGCAATGCCTGTATCAGGTCCCTGCTCGCATAGCTGGTCGCCGGTGACTCGGGGAATTTCAGCTCCTCTCCCACTACATTGAACAGAGTCGCCCTATTTCCCGACCCTTTGAACGGCGTCTTCCCGTATAGTAGCTCGTGTAAGAATATCCCGAATGTCCACCAATCCACTGCACTCCCATGCCCTTCTCCTTTGATGATTTCTGGAGCCAAGTACTCATGAGTCCCCACAAAGGACATGGATCTCGTGTTGGGTTCCGCCACGAGCTCCGGGAGCGCACCGGAATGCGATCTGTAGAGTTCCGTTTGGTTTTTACGTGACTTGTTCTTCTTGCCTTTCTGAGGGAAAATTCTGGGTATGAAGCATGATGGTTGGATGCATGATGATGCTGATGACGGCTCCATGCAAGCAGGTTGAACACAGAATGCCCGTCTCGATGGATCGGAGTCAAACGTTCGTATCAGTGTCGGGGAAACCGCGCATCTGAGGGAGAGATCGAAGTCCGAAAGCATTATGTGGCCATCTTCCCGAACCAAAACGTTCTCCGGTTTCAGATCCCTGTAGACTACGCCGAGCATGTGGAGATACTCGAGCGCTAACAGCACCTCTGCTGCATAAAACCTGAAAATATGACAGCAAAATAAAGTGACGAAAAGCGAAAAGTTTGACAATGGTGAAATGAAATTTCATGTCGTTAAAGCCGTTAAATCTGAGGAACATACCGAGCAGCGTACTCTGAGAAATGCTTGCCGGGTTGACGTTGCCTTAATGTGTGGAGATCACCACCGGGACAGTACTCCATGACCAAGCACGAGAATCTGTCCGTCTCGAAATGGGTGTACAAAGTCGGGAGAAACGGATGGTCCAAGAGCTGTAGAATCTCCCTCTCCGTCTGAGCCCTATTCAACTTCTTCCGGCTCTCGAGAGAAGCTTTATCCATCACTTTCATCGCAAAATGACACCTTGTGCCACTCAACTCCGACAGATAGACGCTCCCGATATCGCCACAACCTAGCCTTTTCAGCAACTTGAAATGGCTCATTCCCAAAATCCCATCTCGAGCCCAGATGGCCAAGATGGCCTTCCACCTCGGGTCGTTCCCTTTGTGAGGCTTGTTAGCCCCTCCCGTAAAATTGCTCCAACTGCTCTCGTCACTTAGCCCACTGCTTTCACTGGCTCTGCTGGCGCTCGTCTTAGCGCTTTCGAATGAGTCCCCGACCATACTCATGCTCCCTTTTGTACTATCAGAGTAGATTTTATCCATACAAATCACAACATCGCTCCGGTTTGTGCTCGCAGAAGAACTGTTGGCAATGCTCATAGCTCGGGCAAAGTTCATACTGTCGACACTGCTAAGGGGGCTGACATTGCCGCTGGGAGGGAGAGAAGTGTCCCAAATGCACTCCCTCTCTGAATCTGGCGGTAGCAGAGAGATGTCTGTGTTCTGTGATGCACGAGCCATCGAGAATGGGGAAAGAGATGGCACGTGTTCGTTTGGTTCCTCGACTATGCTTTCTTCAGGTGAAAGTATTGCCGAGTTTGTCTTTTTTGTAGGTGCGGAGACCGAGACATCCTCAAAGAATGGTCCTTTGGAAGACAAGCTCTTCATCAGGCAAACTGAATCAGGTTTGTTCTGTCCGATGGGCACATACACCGTTGTTATAAGATCCATATCGACCGGTTCTGGAGGATGACTTGCCCCAGAGAAGGAGCTAGAACCAGCGTCCTCGGACAAATCATTGCTTTCCTTACAAGTAATGTCTTCGGCCATGTATTCCTCAATCTCAAGCAAAGGGTACTTCCCTTTCATCGTCCTAACGGACATAGGCGGCTCCAAATCCCTCAACTCTTTAACATTACCGAATCGAAGCACCTCTTCTCTGGCTGGACCATTCAGCACTTGGCTCAGCTCTCTCCCTAATGTGGTTGGTCCGGTCACAGCTTTGCCTGCATAGCGCCCTGCTCGTTCCCGCACCGGGTCAAATTTCATACCGGTTACTTGAACCATTGTGTCTCGGCTGCTTTCCAAGTCTATGTAGGCTTTGGAAAGCTGTCCTGAAACAGGAACTTTACTAGAAGGAAGTCTCTTCAGTTCCACAATCCTTTCCATACTCGCCATTCATGTGTCTTAAACCGACCAAAACTCTCCCCAGCAAAACCCTGCATAGCATCAAGCACTCAAGATTAGCTAATTTCACCATCATGTTTCTGTGTTTTTCCCTTTTCAGGTTAAATCTCTGATCTCCATTCTCACAATCGATGTAGAGATACAATCAGGAAATCCACAAGCGAAAAAAAAAAAAAAAAAAAAAAAAAAGAACTCTACAGCTACAACAATTCCGGCACAGCATTTTGCCGTTGATCATCGGGAAGATTTTGAGAAATCTACCAGAGGCATTGCAACACGCGATCGTCACTCACAAATCTTGGAGGGGGGATGGGGGGGGGGAATTATTAGGGATTATATATCAAACCTCGTTCATGACAATTTTTGAGATAACTCAAAACTATGAATGTGTTCGATCTACCTAGGAGCTTCTCGAGAAGTTCGATGGATGAATAGAGCATCATCGTACCTGGTTCTTGACTTCGTGCCCAATCAATCCAAAGGCAGAATAGAAACGGAAGCAAGAAATCCAAACAAAAGACGACAAAACTGAGAAACCTTGATTCATGTAGCGGACAAAAACAAAAAAAAAAATCGACGCTAACCTAAAGCCACAGATAACACAATGCCGAGATTCTGGTTTCAAGCCCTTTCTTTGAACAATGCACACGATGACGGAGCGTTTTCACGGAAAATTTGGCTCTGATGAAGGAACCAGAACCTCCTCCGGGAAAATTATTTGGAGAGCTCAAAACTCAGAAAAGAAAATTCTCTCTCTCTCTCTCTCTCTGTGAACGAAGAAGAAGAGTAGCTCAGCTTTTGCTTTTTGTGTGGCCGCTGCTTTAGCTGCGACTGACGGGGAAAGAAAAGGGGAGGGAGGATGGTGGGCCCAATATATTATCATGGGTCCCACATATGTCCCTCGTCGCATTTTTATTTTATTGCTCTTGTCGGTCCATATTCTCAGATTCTATTCTTCCTCCTCCCCTCCAAAGAAAATTGAATACATAAATACTAATGAAATGGACCAATATCATTAATTTTTTTAATAGATAATCAACATCAAATGGTTTTAAAATAGTTTTTTTTAGTGCTCCAAAGTAACAAGAAACATAAATACTTTGGTCCAAAAATAGAGAGAGAGAAAAAGGAAGAGACAAACACCGGAAGTTTTATGGATTTGTGAGGACACTTTTTTGACCCACCATCTCATAATTCCCTGAGCTTTTTCTTTTTTATTTCCCAATTCCCACTGCTTTGCCTTTTTTTTTTCTCCCTCTTATGTTATTGTTTTTAATTTATTTTATTTCTTATAATAGTATTAGTGTTGTGTTTATGAAACATTTTTCAAGCCCTTTCGTCTTTACGCCTACTCTCGTGTCTTAAGTCGAAAATATTGACCACGTCAATAATTTCAAATATTGATTACACTTTCATTCTATTTGTTTTTATATTTAATACTTTATTTTATAAAAAATCTACTATTCCATTTATTATACTATTTTCTCGTCTAATTCTATTTAAAATATACTCCATCCATTTCAAAATATTTGTAATTTTAAATTATTTTTTATGTTTCAAAATATTTGTCATCCTACATTTTCAAAATACTTTTTACAATAGTTTTCAATTTTATTCCTGTTAAATTCAAATTAATTATTAATGATAACATTGTTATTTTGAAACGGATGGAGCATCTGTTTTCTAAAAAAAATATTCATTTTTTCTTAATTTCATTTTAAGTTTTATTTCCCTTCAAATTCAGATAATTTTATTTTAAAACTGATTATGGCTGATTCTTTTTTACATCAAATCCTATTTAAATATAATTGTACATCATCCTATTTTTTATTTGCTTCAATTTTATGTATCATTGATCGAATAATTTCTTTTCGGTTAAAAAAAAGAATAATTTCTTTTCACAAACTAAAACATGCGTATAGGTTTTGGTTGGGGCAAAGTAGTTGACTATATAAACCTAATGCTGACAAATGAAATCTATTTATATATATATATATATATAGTGGATAGAGTTCGTTTATAATGAAACAATTATCAGATCGAATTTGAATTAAGATATTGGAAAGCAATGATTAGTGGACCAACTTTATTGTTGGTGATCTATATGTTTTATTGATATAAGTAATCTAATGGAGTACAATTGTTTATTTAATTCAGCGATAACAATATAAATATTAAATAAAAAAAAGGATTTAGAACAGGGAGCAATGAATAATAATGATGATGATGCTTAGTGATTGATGCTTTTGATTATATAATTCGAAAGCTGATAAAAACAACAACAACATCTGTAACAAAAGTAAAAGTAAGTAAAAGCTAACTACTGCCGCTACAGTTAAATAGTTTCAAATTACAAGCAACAAGGGACGGAACTGTTTGTCTCTGCTGGAATTTTGGAAAAGACGTAAACGTCCTCCCACCGTGGATCGTTGTCCGGCTTCGGTCGGAGGGTAAAATCGGTAATTTAAGCTAAAAATGTTTAATTTTTTTTTTTTAAAAAAAAAAGAGAGGGAAATGAGAGGATTGCGCGTGCATGGAGAATCTAATGGGGGAGGGACAGTCAAACTAAGACATAACGACTCAAAACAGTTCCAAAGGCTCTGTTTTTAACCCAACACGGCACAGTGTCTCGTCCCTTTTATGTAAATCGCTCGAGACAAATTTTTATTCATGTCCCGTTACCACATAAGATGACAAACTTTGTTAGATTCTGATTCAATTGCGTAAAATTCTGCAAAATAATATAATGGGTCAAGCTCATATGGCGTGTAGATGTGTATATGCATCGTGTATTGGGCGTGGGCCAGTGTGTTGAATCCATAGGCTCTCTTTTTTCGAGAAAGGGACAAAAGCTGTGGTTTGAAAACGAGGGTTTGGTCCTTTGAGACAGATTGGAGAGAAGACAAAATGCAAAGCAGGGGAATTTCTGAAACTTTTGGACCGCCCTTCTCGTTTCACTTTGATTAGGTGAAATTTTGATTCTCTCACCAACTTTTGAAAAAATTATTGTTAATATAATCACAGAGACATCGTGAATTAAATATGTTTTCAGAATTCATTCGGAGTTCACGAACGGCCCACTAATTGTGGTATCAGTGGCCGTAACACCTACCTGTAACGTGGCCCATCTTAGGCCCAATAATGATTTGCCAATTCGGCCCAAGCCCAACATGTATGTTACGTTGACCAGGTGAAGGCTACGTCAGTTTTCCGGTAAAACGGCGACTGCTTGTTCCTTTAACTGATATTCGATTTTTGGTCGGTATATAAAAATAGAATGAGTGTATAATGAATGGACGAGATTGGATTTGGTCGTACCAATTATTTGGATCGTCAGATTTTTGTAAATTTCATATGGATAATTCGTGAATATCTAATCCGGTGTTAAATTAGGATTTTAAAATGGATCTCGTCTCATTTGACTTGGTTTTCAGTTACATCTATATATTAACCATATATGCGCATATATACACATATCTGATCAGATTCTGGATTCTAAAATTCAAGATACTCCCAGTTTCTCGAAGATTCGGACCCGCTAGCTCAGCCAGAGTTCCCGGCCCAAGTCATCTTGTGACACGTAGGATGTCTCTCACGTGGCACGCCACTCATCTGTCACGTGAGACTCTCGTGATGACGTCATCCGCCATGCGGGGGCCACCGAACAAAACGCCCCCATAGTAGCGCGTCGGTGTTACGCGCCGCATGGCCTTTCGTACCTCGCAAAACCACACCTTGTCTCGAAGGCTCGGACACGTGGCAGTAGACGACGTTCACAAGCTCCAAAGGAAACAACATAATATCACTAATCAAATCATCAATTAATCTATAGCTAAACGTTGGTGAAAAAGTTAACGAATACGCACTCTTCAACAATCCACTGATTCTATTCGCTTGTAAAGATCGTGAATTACAACTCTTTTTCGTTCGGGCTTAATCCAACCCCGAGCCACTTCATGCACGTGCCCGTGCCGCCAAATCCCTTTATATATATATATATATATATATATTAGTTAAATATTTCGATAATATTAACGTTCCGATGTGTAAAACTCTTTATCATATGATCGTCAATTAGCCCTTGAATTTATATGTGAAAATGTTCTTGTAAAATATCTCTCTATAACACCGAACTTGCACTTTCTTTCTTTTGATTAATGGATCATGGTGTAGCTCGACTGAAAACTATAAAGGAAATGAAGCCATTGGGACTAAAATTGCCTTGTATCCCATAATGTATTTGTGGGTATATGGATTTTATTTGTTTTCTTATGGATATAAATAAAATATTAAACTCTGTATCTCCTTATATGAAAAAATATAATTTTAATACACGAAACCCACCATGTTACAAAAGTTTCGATGTTGATGGTTAGTTTACCATTTTAACTTTTTACTTTCACCCAAACAATTCTAAAGTTGGAAGCCTATGGATTTTGACTTTAAGAAATTGAAGCGGCTGCGGTGTAGGGCCGCCGCTTTCCGTCGATTCTTTCTTTCGGTAAATTCGCAGCGGAAAAACGTTTGACAGCAACAGCTAACGAGAATTTCTAAATTATTTATTATTTTTTTCCTGTTTAGATTGATTTGGTTTCAGAAATATAATCATACAAATTTACAAAATTCAAAAACTTACTTTTCTCTACAAAACATAAACAAAGCTTATATATGTAACGTTCTCATGACACGTAAGCAAGGATGGAATTTTCAACAAAATAAAAAAATAATAATGCATTTTGATCCAATTTTCTCCCATCAGTTCATCACAATCCCATCATCACATGAAGAAAAATAAAAAACTAAATAATTTTAGAAACTAAAAAACAAATAATAATAATAAAATATATGAATAGAACGCACGAGAGGTTCGTTTTCATGGCAATGTGAACAGAAAGATCGGATATCTTGCAGTCCAAAAGAGTATAGTTCAATTTTAAATGCTAAGTATTTTTTTTTTCAACTACCGTAGTGAGACCCCTTTGAAATATTAAATATGGATTCGAGTTTCGGTGGCATGTGCGACTCGTACGGTGTCAGTGTCCTCAAGCATTATGGATTTCTGATGATTTGGCCAATAAATTCGGCGACATTGTAAGAAATGGAACGTCAAACGTTTGGTGGATCTATTTCGACACGTGCCGATTATTATTACAATTATTATTGCTCATTATTGTTACGTACCCCCACGACAATGTTGAGATCTTGGAGACACACTACGTGTATAAGATATTGATGATAATAAAATATATAGTAAAATATAATAGAATATTTTTAATCATAATATTTAGTAAACCATAAATCATTATATTAATGATAATATCTTTCTATATATAGAGATGAATCGATGAATTCAATCTTATTATATAAAAACACAAATTGTTATCGTGTTAAACCAATCATCTTCTATGTGATTATATAGTTAAGACTTAAGTCGGTTGTTGTTTGATAACGTTTGAAGAGTTTGAGAGCTGTAATTTTAGATACTTATGTAGTACGAATGTGCGGACGTGTATGCGTGATTTAAAGTTGTACGACAATGAGATCGACATCGAAAAAAATACGATTTGTATAGCGGTTAGACCGGAGAAAAAAATAAAAAATATGGGCGCAAAAAATACGACAAATAATGTGTGATGGTTTAGCAACAAGGTTGTCGAAGAAAAAAAAGTGACGCAAAAACGCAGATTAACAATCGGAGTTTTCCAATCAAGAGGGGTTAAAAGTCAGGTTTAAAGATCTCACAACGAGTAGGGTTGAAGTCGACAAATGAATGTCATAAAAAAAGCATATTAGTTAAGATCGATGGAAATTATAGACATATATCACATATTCCAAAAAATATAATTTGAATTTTTTGTGGTACCACGCCCATTTTTTCGTCTTCGTGGTAGCTTTGAATGGCCTCCGCGTGGCATTTTTTTCGTTTTCTTTTTTTCAAAAAGTGGGCTGAAAGCTATATATGTATATGATGACATGTGTATTCATCTATGTTGTGGTTTCATAATGTAATTCAATTTAGGTTCGATGTGAAATCCATTATATACAAGAACAAATTTAACATTTTGTCAAAGTCTAAAAGTCGGTCTAAATATATGTGACTTAAACTACATTTTTTCGAAATCCCCACCCAACTAATTAATTAATTAACCAAAAAAAAAAGTAATATGCATCATTGCCGAAATTCTTGAACGCTCAAATCAAGTACTCCTATATGTGTATGTGTGTGTAAAGTGACATTTATGATTTATCACTAGCATGCACGAATATCTAATCTAGTTAAGTGATGTTGTAATGACGTGAGGAGATTTAGTCACGAGGTTAAATTGGGACTAGCTGTTTAAAAAAAAAAAAAAAGTGGTCGGAGAATATAGATAAGGATTCCACAATCATAGAAAACGGAATCGTTGATTTCTTTTATTTAGCTGTCCCAATCAGCAGCTGATTATCTGACTCTTTATGCAGTTGAAAAAAAAAACTTGTCTTAATCTTGGGGGAAATTCACTGTCACTTATATATATATACATAAAGGCAATATTTTTAAACTGATTATTAAAATCAATAAATAGTCTACGCTATTCTCTCACGTCAATTTCCTCTTTGATATTCGGCAGTCTTCATTGAATTCAAACATAAGATTATTATATATCTCATCGCATAGATATATATAGTACAGTATATATATATATATACACATATACGTATATAATTTATATATATCAAAACACTTACTGAGTCAAAGTTACATAAATTAAGGAGTTGAGCACCGGTAGTTATTATTTTAAGAACATTACTTCTAGTCATAATTTTTGTTTAGACAAAATAGGATGTGATTTATTTCATATCTCATCCAACAAAAAAAAAAAGGAATAGCTACGACTTGTATTTTTTTTTAAAGCAGACAAAAATAAAAACTTGAATTCGTGAAGTTATTACGCTAGTGGAAGTTGTGATTCATGGAGATGAATGATATAGAAATAGGAATAGATACACTGATTACGCTTTAACTAGTGATAGTCCATTTGATCCTCTCGATACCCAAAGAGATATTCAAACTTGTATTTTTGTTGTATATTGAATTGCAGAAGATGAGAGACAGAGAGAAATTTTCGTGTTATTATTTAAAATGATTATATATATATATATATATATATATATATATATATATATATATATTATATCAACATCAAGATAATCATTAAAAAAAGGATCAATCTCATAAAAACAAATATATCAATGATACGATCATTAACATCGGAGAATACCGATCCAAATAGACATTGATTGAAAAACAAATGACAAGATTGGAAATAAATCTCGACTCTGGAAAATGAAACCGAGGAGTAAAAAATTTGAATCCATAAATCAGAACCAAACCGAGAATTATACCGGACATTTTGAATGAAACTAGACCGGATGATTATGTCGTTATAATTATGCAAGATTCAGCTATTACGCTTATAAGTGTACGATATGTGGATATGAGGTTGATATTTGGACGGTTTGTAAATTGCATCCTAGAGTGATCCGGCTACCTCGTGAATATACCATCACATCACTCGTGATATACATACATACATCAAATAGTATATGTATATACATATAGTACATCGCTGTCTACATTTATACATATTGCTTTCCAACTTATAATAGTGGAATCATAAATTGATTTGTGAATAGAAAAGACAAGTTAATAGGTTTTGTATGTATATAATGTCAAAATCCTTAGAACAATGTAATCAATAGTGTATAGTTGACAGTAATTTGGTGAACTAAAGTCGAATATTATTCCACGCTAGAAGATATTTTATACCATATGGCGCAGATGAACATCTTCAAGCAAGCAATTTCAACCAAAAAACATCTTCAAGCAACATGTTGGCACATATATATATATATATATGTTATGATATAATGGTTACAAGAATAAATCTAAAGGCCAAACGTTCTAGTACGAGGCTGATGCCGTTTTATTCTAAAGCCA